GGGAGGAGGCTACTGCGCCCCGCCCCTCCTCTTTTTTTTGGACCCCCATTCTAGCATGTGTGCCGCCTCACCTGTGCGTTCATGCATTGCATGCTGGACGAAACACTAGTGCGGAGAAAGTTGCAGTGTCGAATGACCACAGCAGGAAATTGCCCACCATGGATTAAATGAGCGATTATCCCAATTTCCCAAAAACTCTGCTTCGTCGTTTGGTGGTGAATGTCTGGAAACATTGAAACAACACTCGCCTCCATCTCTCGAATATGCATCGCAATTGTGATTCGTCTTTCTTATGTTGCTGGTCCTCAAGCCTATTTTAGATTTTCAATGCGTTCCTCGACTTGCTGTTTACATTACATAATTAAATTATTACATTCCCTCGTCGTAATGGCCGATCTTTTATCTTTTGAAGTTTTGCTGTTTGTGCATGTTGCATGTCTGAATTTCATCGCTGGTCATCCTCAGTTATGCGTTTTCTAACTTTTCTTTTCATTTTTGTATTTTTAAATGATTTTAGAATTTGTAGGTAAATTTGTGCTGCTAATGAAGTGGTAACACAGGAATGCCCCCACCATTAGTTCGAAAAGAAAAGAGAAAATTGCCGTCTTTTTTATATTTAATTTTGTTTTTTTAAATTGCCAACTTTTGTCAGCTGCATGGGTTGACCCTTGGCAGTTTGACTTTCCGGGCGACTCGCCTGAATGCCCGGGTCGAAGCGGACCTGATAACCTAGCTTTGGATGTGTAATGCACAAAAGTTTTTTCTCTTGCCTGCCTTCCTTTTTTTCTTTCAATGAAACAGGAGGCAAAGCAGGCCACAGAGTTAATGCACCGCTGGGCCTCTATTGACATTGCAGATGCGCTCGAGCTCTTGTCGCCAGCGTTCACAAGCGAAGAGGTAGGCGTTCACAAGCGAAGAGGTATACGCTTCTAAGTCGGTTGTTGTTTGGTGAGATATTAATTTATATAAGAAAAGAAGGAATTTGAGTAATGGAATTTCATCTCTGTTCCACACTCCTTACTCTCCCCTTGTCCTTTGTTCCTTGGTCTGTCTTTCCTCTCCCTCTTTCTCTACTTAACATGTCTCCCCTTCGCTGCCATCCCTTTTACAGGCTGCAGGTGTGTTGTTATGGCATAAGGGTACATCAGTTCCCGATGCTTAACCACAACAATGTGGTGAGCCTTGCACCTGAAAGGCACAGTAAGACGGGAAAAGCCGAAAGACGAAGAACGAAAACGTGCCCAAAAAAAAAGCAAGAGGAAGAAGAGAACTGTTTCAGTGGTCTCCCATGCTACCGGGTCCCATGTGGTCGAACGGTCCACACATGTTACTGTTAATATACAGATCATGAGTTCGAACTTCGAACTTCGAATCCTTATGAAAAAGATCAGATTGATCATTGATAATTTGATACAATTAATGTTTGGACTCTGGAGCTAATTCATTTTGAAGTGTGTGCCCTCATGCTGTCTGCTCTTTTTTTTGAAAATTTTTCTTTATTATCTTGCAAAGTGCACTCTTCTCGTTTGTTTTTTTACGTGGGTTTCACGAGTGTGAAAAACAGTATAGCTTAGTGGGACTGCAGGGCGCCTCGCTGCATGCCAAGCTTTAATCCTTTGTCAGGCATTTTGTTTCATTTTGTCCTCTCGATTGTGGTTTTGACGGATGGATTTTTTTGCATGAAACGGTCTGTGTTTTACGTGAAATGTCATCAAACGTATATAAGTGACGCGATTTGAGTTTTGTGGAAGGGTTTTGTTTTTCGTCTGTGTGACAGAAGGTGTTGATGTACGCTATCAAACACATCTTCTCCTTGATCTGTGACAGTTTTCGCTTTGAAGCGGCAATGCAACAGTATTGATCTTCCTCTGCTTGATGGCAGTCGCTTGGTTACGGTGTCAGAGCCCGCTTTCTGCAGGCCGGAATCAGATGCCCGCCTGTGACACCTCACGCCCCCCACGAAGATGAAGGAGTGGGAGCGAAAAAAGAAATGGTCGGAAAAAAAAAAGAAATGGCCGGAAAAAAAAAGAAATGGTTGGAAAAAAAAAAGGGCTGATCCAGCTGCGCAAAAGACCGACGGAAAGGGGTAAAAAAGGAAGAGAAAAAAAAGAGTCCGTGTGCATGTCGAATGAGGAATACACCAAGCTCATGTGTCTGTGGATGGTACCAGCCATGAACTGCTGATAAACGAAACCGAGTTTGCAGTTTGAAATTTGAATCCTGCTCCTGGGGCTGGTCCGTTCAATGATACAAGTGTTCTAGGCTCACGCCCCCAGCAAGCGTCGTGCCCGCCCTAAGCGAAGGCGGGCCTGAATATCCACGTGAGGCCTGTTCTTGACATTTTTTCCATATGTGGGTACTCAGACGGTTCCAGCATGCCAGTTGGTTACAGAGCAACGTGAGCCTCCAGGGTTTTTCCAGAAGTAAGGGGCTGCGCTGTACAGTTGAGCCCAGGGCTCAGGCGGTTGCGCCCTGGGCACACGCTGTGTGAGGCCGACACATCCCGGACTGGTTACGGGCCAATGAGGAAGCGGCATTGTTGTCACACATGTGTCGGGAGCCAATTAGAATGCTGCAACCACTTGGAGGCTGCCTGGAAGTGCTTAATTGCACGAGGCCTAGTGTTACGGACTTCGCCAGGGCTCGATCCCTGGTCTATCTTTTGCTGTTTTGGCTGCATCCCGTTCTCGGCCTGGCACCCTTTTTCCAAACCCCTCCTTTGGTACCATAGGATTTTGGACAACTGGCGCCATGCTGCAATTCGGGCGCCACTTTCAAATACTGCATTTTTCAGTTCTGCCCTCGGGGCCTTTGCAGAAATGCCCC